AGGGCCTTGTTAATTGCTCAGGTTGGCCTTGAACTTGTGATTCTCCTCAGTCTCCCAAGTCTCTGAGATTACAGGCATCACCATCATGCCCAGCTTTCTTTTGGTCCCTTTTTTGTGACATTATCTTGGGAACAAACCAGGCCAGTTGACTTATAAGAAGTGTCCTACCTTTTGAATTTTTTTACTTGTTTACTAGTGGTGCTTTATCAGCTCTCACCTCCATTTCCTGTTGGCTAAAAGATCTCATTTGCTAATGTATCTCCCTTAATTTTCTCAGTAATGCTCTGATGTGGTAGTTATTCTCTATCTGCCTTTAGACCAAGGGGAACACAGAGTTTCTGAGGGTGCCAAGACTGACCAACAGCTCCAGCCACAGGGCCCACACTTTCCCATCCAACTCCAGCTCCTGACTTGTGTCTGGGGTGGGCAATGATGAATCTGGGGCTGGTCACTATCTCCTCTTCCTTGCAGTCCTTATCCAGTAGCCCTCAGGCCCAGCCCCCTCGGCCAGCTGAGCTGTCAGATGAGGAAGTGGCTGAGCTCTTTCAACGGCTGGCAGAAACACAGCAGGAGAAATGGATGCTAGAGGAGAAGGTACTATCTGTCTCTCTGCTTATCCCCATTTGAAGTGCTCTTGGCCAGGCAGTGAGGAGGGGGTCTGGTCAGGCCCTCCTCCTCTCCTCATGGGTGATCATGTGCAGTTGAGGGGTCTGATGTGGGATGGGCTATTTTGCAGGTGAAGCACCTGGAGGTGAGCAGTGCTTCCATGGCAGAGGACCTCTGCCGGAAAAGTGCCATCATTGAGACCTACGTCATGGACAGCCGAATCGGTCAGTGCCCCCTCCCCTGTCCTCACCCCTTGCCATCCAGCCTTTACTTGGCTCTCCAAGTACTACTTTACTCATTTTCCATGTATGCTATGGCTTTTCTCTTCTTGGAACTCAGTGCATCTATTAACAAAATTACAACCCATGGAGAGGATAGCAAGGAAACTGTCTTTTTATCTTTCTTCCTCCCCTTTTCTGTGTGCCTGTCATTCCTTTACTCCCCATTCCTCTAATGTGCTTCTCTGGTCTTCTGTCTCCTTTCTTTTCACCATGTCTTGGCTTCCTCCTCTCTCTCCCTTCTGTTTTCTCCTTGTATCTTTTTTCTTCTGACCCCTCTCCTTCACCTTCTCTTACTGGCTATATTGTTCTGCTTCCACAAGTTTTAATTCTCTGTATTTTTATTCTTTTTGAGGTTCTGATCTCTTCTCCCTCCTTCCTCACCCTCTCTTCCTCTCCCACCTGTCTCCTACCTTCTCTCCCTTTGCTCTTCCTTTCTGTCTTTATTTCTTTTGCTCCTTCTTTCAAACCTTCTTCTCCCCCTGATTTTTCCTTAGCAGAACAATACCTATTGGCATGTGCTGAGGGTTTACTGTGTGCTCTATAATTTTCATGCAGTCATGCATCTTTCCAACTCCATGATTTAGATATTTACCCCCATTTTCAGGGTCACATCGCTATTAAGTGACAAAGCTTGGTTTCACATGTCAAAATCTCCACCCCCCTACATAACATGGCTTCTCTCCCTCCCCTCTCCTCTGCTCTGTTCCCCTCTTTTCTCCTCTGGCTCTGCCCATCTCTCCTCCGGCTCTGCCGAGGGGGTAGTGCTCAGCTTGGGCCCTTGCAGATGTGTCTGTGGCAGCAGGCCACACAGACCGCAGCGGGCTGGGCAGCGTCCTGAGAGACCTAGTGAAGCCAGGAGACGAGAACCTTCGGGAGATGAACAAGAAGCTGCAGAACATGCTGGAGGAGCAGCTCACCAAGAATATGCACTTGCACAAGGCGAGTGTAGCCTACTAGCCTCCCCATCTATCTAACCACATGTCTCCCTAGCCACAGAGCCCCAGGTCTTCTGCCAGTCCCTGTAGTCACTTACCCAGACTTTGTCCTCCCAGCCATTCTCCTACTCTTATATACACCACCCTTTCATGCTCCCATCTTTCATCTTTGGGTCAACTTATTATTGACTCGTCTCTCTTTTCTTCCACCTACCCATCCATCCATCTATTTATACACCCACCCAACCATTTATTCATCTGTCCATATACCTACTCTTTTACCTATCTAATCATCTTTCCCAGGTCTTCCAACCATTTCCTGACCTATCCTTCTCTTTCCTCACTCACCCATTGTCTTACCTTGCCAACCTACCAGATGACTTGCCTCCCTACCTGTTGTCCTCCCTATGGCCTCTTCACAATGCATTTGTGCACCTGTTTGCCTGCCATAGATCCCTGATGTGTTTACCTACATGTCCATTGGCCCATCTCTTTCACCCAAATATTTCCCCCATCTCTGGGGGATTCATAAAGGAGTCAGACCCAGCTCCTACCTTGGAGAAGCAAGTTCACATTTAGTAGAAGACAAGGTGGTGAGGGTGACAATTATATCCTCTGGCAGCACTGGGCCACAGCAGGTGACCCACTACATCTCCTTAGCTCCCATCTTCTCCATGCCCAGCCTTCTGTTGAAGGCTCTGTGAACTCCAAGAACCTTCCCAAACCAAGCCAGACACCATTGGAAATGAAGGAGCCTCCCCTACCTACTTCTCTGGCCCATTATGGCTTTTTTGTTTCTTAGGACATGGAAGTTCTGTCCCAGGAAATTGTACGACTCAGCAAGGAGTGCGTGGGGTCACCTGACCCAGACCTAGAGCCTGGAGAATCCAGCTAAAGACCTGCAGGCTGCATCCACTCCCTCCCCTTGTCACCTCCCAGGATGCTACTCCCTTGGGCTATGGAGGGAAATGGGGGCTGACACCAAAATCTAGTATTTTGGGAGACTGGACATTAAAGGGGCTAGAGGCCTGATGGCTGGTGTAAATGACCTGGTCAGGGCAGAGGGCCCCCCCCCCCGGAGTGGGAATCCCCAGGGAAGGGGTAGGGATTTCTCCTTGGCCCAGGCTCCCAGGGAGATCTGCCTCCATCTCTGCATGAGCTCTCCCTCCCAGAGACCAACACTTTTTTATTTTATTTTATTTTTTAATTTATGTCTGAAAGCCTGACTACTCTGCACTTGGGATTGGGGGTGTTGGGTGGGGGTGCGGTCTGTGTTCAGCGTTCTAGCAACGTGTATGTGTGTGTGCGCGTGTGTGTGTGTGTATAAAGGCTGTGCAGCCAAAATACCATCTGGCCAGACGGGCCCACCCACTGACTGTCTGGTCTCATTTTTTTTTTTTCAATCAAGGGGGATGTTCTGGGGGTCAGAAGGTCACTCTGTTGCATTGGGGAGGGAGTTCTATGACTGCAACTTTATTATTTCCTCCAACCTCAACTCACTTGTCACCTGACCAACCTCTAAAACTAAGTGGAGCATAAATATCTGCAGATATATGTATGTGGGTAGATGTGCGTGGGGTTGTGGTATAGATCAGTGGACAGATGGGAGGATGGATAAGTGGTTGGATGGACTGATGATAAATAAGTGGAAGTTTGCATGGATCAATTTTGGCTAAGTTGGGAAATGGATGGGTGGATTGGCGGATGAATAGATGGATCAGTAAATGGATAACTAGAGAATGGATAAGTGGATATATAAATGGACAGATGATGTATAGATGGACAAATGGTTGAGTGGATGAATTGAGTATGTAGCTGGATGGTTGGATTTATGAACAGGTTGGGAATAAACTCTTGGATGAATAAAGGACTGTATCGATGGATAAGCTAATGAATAGGGAGGGTAAAGAGTGGGTGCATAAGTGATGAGTGATTGGACAGATGAATGGATACTGATACATATGGATAGGTTGGTGAATAGTTGGATAGGGTGAACATACAGATGGATGAGCAAGTGGGTTGATGGATTAATGGCTAAATAGGTGGAGGGGTGGGTAGAGTGATTGCTTATGTAGATGGGAGGGTGGACAAATCAAGAGTGTAATAAGTGAGCAAATGGAGGAATCCAATGGGTTGGTAAATGGATTGAAAGGCTATACTTCCTGTGTTACTGTGCCCTCATCACACAACTTTAGTTATCTAAGATTAGAAATCATCTGTGCCAGGCCCTGGGTCATCCCCTTTCACATCATTTCAATTAATGCTCCAAATGACATTGTCAAGTAGGGATAACTCCATTCTGACAGCCAAAGAAACAATGCAAGGCATTTCTCAAGGACATAGCAAATGTGGCAAAGTTTTGAGTTTGAACCCACCTATGCCTGCCATAGACTCTTCATACTCTGTGCTCCTGCCAACCAGGAGCAGAGCCCTCTAGAGGATGTGATGTGATTTGCAGTCACTGGGTGTGCACAGATAAGGGCTCCTGCCCCCTTGGCGTGAAACCTGCCTGGACTGGGGGGTGGGGCCTGAATTGTCCCTGTCTGCACTCCCTGTACCCCACATTTCATATCGCAAGACAGTGGAAGATGCATGCTCCAGTCCCATGATGGAAGTTTAAAACTGGGGCTGTGGCACACTCCTAGGGGGTGGCTTTAAAGACCTGTCCATCTGGAGAGAGACAGCCCCCATCAATAACCCTCGCACCCCAGTTTCTCCTGCCCTTCCACAGCCTGGGGGGCAGGGAGGGGACACAGCGCTGCATCATTCCCCATGGCACTCCGCTCTGGGGCCATTAACAGACGCCTCCCCATCGATCGATCGGTTCTGCTAAGTGCTGCTGATTCAGGCGGGTGGGGGTGGGGGCCCCTGGGGGTAGAGGGGGTAGGAACTGGGCAGGAAGAGGGGGGAGTCCAGGAAGGAGGTGGGGAGAACTGGCAAAGCTCCCTGCCACCCCCATTTTCCAGATGACGCGACTGAGGCCCAACCAGCTTTGTAGGAGGCGGAGTCTCCCCAGGGTCCCTCGCAGGCTGCCCTAGGGGAGGGGGCTCTGAGAGCCACGAGGCCCCTCCCTGCCTTTCCATCTCCCGGCAAGCTCAGAGGGGCGGGGAGAGAGCCGAAGGAGGAGGAGGAGGAGGAGAACTCGGGGCAGCTCTGCAGAGGGGGCCAGCAGCTCCGGTGTTTGGTACCCCCAGCCCCACCGCTGTTGCTGCTGCTGCAGCCGGGACACAGGTGAGGACGCTCTATGGGGAGTGGGAGGGGGCCGCCAAGCACTGTCCTTGTCCTTCCCTGGTCCAGCCCCCACACCCTAACCCATCTTGGGACAGTCCCCAGGGATCCCACTGGACCTTGTCCTTCCACAGCCTCCTTCCAGGGACCCAACCCCCTCCCCTGCCTGTGCTGCCTTCCCTTCTAGGCCTGGCTGTGGCTGCCTTTCTTCCTCCTCCTCCTCCTCCTCCTTCTCCTGCCGCTGCTGCTGCTGCTGCTGCTGCTGCTGCTGCTGCTGCTGCTGTCTAGCACACACCGCCTGCCCCTCGGGGTGTGGTTTCCCCAGACCTGCCCCCATCGTTGGGACCCAGCCTTCTCCAGCCTCTCCTGCCTGTCTCCTGCAAGGTTCAGCAGCCCCCACCTCCCCGGAGACACACCCAACTCCCTTTCAACACCCCTCTGTTCTCTCCAACCCATTTTTGGGGAAATCCTTGTGCCCAACTTCAGTCCGGTTGAGTCCCAGCACCTTAGGGTTCCCCAGGCCCCTCTTCTCTTCTCCCAGAACTCTTCAGAGTGTGGACCAGGCTTCCTCTGCCCCTTTAGATATCCCCCTCACCCAGATATCTACCGTCCTCTTACAAAATAATCCAGTCCCATAACTACCTCTTTAGCTACCCCATTCCATTTCCAGCCCCACTAGGGGGCCCTCACTTCTTCTGCTTTCCCTAGAACTCCTGTAATATGTAGACAACACCCCCAGGCTATTCTTGGCAGCTCTAGGCACTCCCAAGACACTTTTCAGCCTCTTTACAACCTCCTGGCTCTACAGCCACCCTTGAGAAGCACCAGCCCCTTTTCAGATCCCATGAGGGTGCTTCAACCCCCTTATCTTTACCCTAGAAGTCTTGAGGGTATGGACGACCCTCCTCACCTTTCTCATCCCCTCTAGAACCAGCCCCCAGGTACACTCAGCCTCTTTCAAGCACCTCTGATCCCATTTGTACCCCTCTGGATGCCCCAATTTCCTCTCCAAACTGGCTAATGGGTTCCAGACCTATTTTTCCTTCCCTGAGAACTCTTGAGAGTGTTGAGAGCTTCCCACTTGTTTCTCGGTCCCTCTAGACACCCCCAAACATCTCTCAGGCACATGCTGACCCCACTAGAATCATCTCAGTCTCTCTAAAGATCCTGGGGATCCTTCTTGTCCTCTCTGATCTCCTTAAGCCCTTATTAGTCCCTCAGGACACCACAAGGGCCCCTCCTAGACCCTCTAAATGCCCCCTAAGCTCCTGCCCATCTCTCTAGTTCCTCCTCCTCGTTCCTCTTGGCCTCTCTAGACACCCCCAGTTTCCTTGCCCTGGTGGCCCAGGGCCTCTCCAAGCCCCCACCATCCTGGAGACAGCCACATTCTCCTAAACGCCACCCCCCAAGTCTCCGTGGGCCTGGGGAGCCGCAGGATGGCGGCAGGCGTGGCCACGTGGTTGCCCTTTGCACGGGCGGCCGCTGTGGGCTGGCTGCCCCTTGCCCAGCAGCCCCTGCCCCCAGCGCCAGGGGTGAAGGCATCTCGAGGGGATGAGGTTCTGGTGGTGAACGTCAGCGGCCGGCGCTTCGAGACCTGGAAGAACACACTGGATCGCTACCCAGACACGTTGCTGGGCAGTTCTGAGAAGGAGTTCTTCTATGACGCGGACTCTGGCGAGTATTTCTTTGATCGCGACCCGGATATGTTCCGGCACGTGCTGAACTTCTACCGAACTGGCCGGCTACACTGCCCACGCCAGGAATGCATCCAGGCCTTCGACGAAGAGCTGGCCTTCTATGGCCTGGTCCCCGAGCTTGTGGGCGACTGCTGCCTTGAAGAGTACCGGGACCGCAAAAAGGAGAATGCTGAGCGCCTGGCTGAAGACGAGGAGGCTGAGCAGGCTGGGGATGGGCCTGCCCTGCCAGCAGGCAGCTCCCTGCGGCAACGGCTCTGGAGGGCCTTCGAGAACCCACACACTAGCACTGCAGCGCTGGTTTTCTACTATGTGACTGGCTTTTTCATCGCAGTGTCGGTCATCGCCAATGTGGTGGAGACCATCCCGTGCCGCGGCCCTGCACGGCGGCCACCAAGGGAGCAGCCCTGTGGTGACCGCTTTCCGACAGCCTTTTTCTGCATGGACACGGCCTGTGTACTCATATTCACGGGAGAATACCTCCTGAGGCTTTTTGCTGCCCCTAGCCGTTGCCGCTTCCTGCGGAGTGTCATGAGCCTCATCGATGTGGTGGCCATTCTGCCCTATTACATTGGGCTTTTTGTGCCCAAGAACGATGATGTCTCGGGTGCATTTGTCACCCTGCGTGTGTTCCGTGTTTTCCGCATTTTCAAGTTCTCCAGGCACTCCCAGGGTTTGCGGATTCTGGGCTACACACTCAAGAGCTGTGCCTCTGAGCTGGGCTTTCTCCTCTTTTCCCTCACCATGGCCATCATCATCTTTGCCACTGTCATGTTCTATGCTGAGAAGGGCACCAGCAAGACCAACTTTACCAGCATCCCTGCGGCCTTCTGGTATACCATTGTCACCATGACCACACTTGGGTGAGTGCAGATCCTGTGTTGGGAGCTGCACAATTACACTCACATTTTCTATAAAATCAGAAAGGTTAGATGAATGATCTCTTTTTATTTTCTTTGTGGTATTAGAGATCCAACCCAGGGCCCTTACACATGCTAAGCACATGCTCTACCACTCTCTCTTTTTGAGCTTTAGTTTGCCCATCTGTAAAACTGGGGGAGTTGGATTTAGTCTTCAAATCCAAGCTTTGACCATCCTTGATTTTCCAGGTCAGGAGACTTGGGGAAAATGATTGTCTTAGCTGTCTTTCTGTTGACCTTTTCTCAGAGCCTCAGTTTCTCCCTCTATAAAGTGGGAAACAATGATTCCCTTTATCACCTAGAGAGAATTCAATGGCATCATGGTTGCAAAAGTTATTTGAATGTTTCTGGTGCAGGATAAATAGGTATTGGCTTCCTATCAACCATTTTTTCTTTTTTTGTAGGGGTGTTGGGGATGGAACCCAGGGCCTCACATATGCTAGGCAAGCACTCTACCACTCAACTACACCCAACTACATCCCCAGCCCTATTTTATATTTTATTTAGAAACAGGGGCACTTAACCACTGATCCACATCCCCAGCCCTTTTTATATTTTATTTTGAGACATGGTCTTGCTAAGTTGCTTACATCCTCACTAATTTGCTGAGGCTGGCTTTGAACTTGCGATTGATCCTCCTGCCTCATCTTCCTGAGCCACTGGGATTACCAGCGTGTGCCACCATGCCTAGCCACTCCAACCCTTTTAAAAATATTTTCTTTTGAGACAGAATCTCTAAGTTGTTGGTACTAGGAATTAAACCCAAGGGTAAACTGCTGAACTACTACATCCCCAGTCCTTCTTTTAAAAAATTTTTTTTGAGCCTGGGTCTTCCTAAGTTGCTTAGGGCCTTGCTAAATTGCAAAGGCTGTCCTCAAACTTGCAATCCTCCTCCCTCAGCCTCCAGAGTTGCTAGAATTACAGAAATGCACCACCACTCCCAGACCTCATTAGGTTATTTTAGATTTTGCTTTTGTTTTTTTCTCAGTATAGGGATTGAACACAGGTGGTGCTTAACCACTGAGCTATATCCCCAGCCATTTATATTTTTTATTTTGAGACAGGGTCTTGCTAAGTTGCTTAGTTGCTTAGGGCCTGCTGAGGCTGGCCTAGAACTAGCCATCCTCCTGCCTCATCTTCCGGAGGGCTGGAATTACAGGATGCACCACCACACCTGGCCCTCATGAGACTTTTTTTTTTCCTCATGAGGTTCTTTTTTTGGGGGGGTGGAGGGATACCAGGGATTGAACTCAGGGGCACTCAACCACTGAGCCACATCCCCAGCCCTATTTTATATTTTATTTAGAAACACGGTCTCACCAAGTTGCCTAGTGCCTCACTTTTGCTGAGGGTGGCTTTGAACTCGTGATCCTCCTGTCTCAGCCTCCTGAGCCACTGGGTCACCGCGTCCGACCCTCATGAGGTTTTTAAAGGCATTGTTTGGGGCAGATGCTGTGATCCTTCTTTAAAAAAATTATATATATAATTGTGTGTGTGTGTGTGTGTGTGTACACACACATTGTGGGTGAGTCTTTATTTTTATTTATTTATATGTAGCGCTGAGAATTGAAACCAGTGCCTCCCCCATGCTAGGAAAGCACTCTAACATTGAGCCACAACTCCAACCCCTGTGATCCTTCTTTAAGTTTCCATCAGTGTGATTAGATATATTGTTGGTGTCCTGCATTGGTTGAATGAATGACTGAATGAATTGGCCTTGCTCAGTGTCTTAATAGAGGTACAGAAAAATTGATTTGGGGTTTCTAAGGAGTAGAAATTAATTCAGGTTGGAGGTTTGGGATTGGATCAACAAAAAATATTGAGCCCTGACAGTGATTTGGCACTGGGTATTTTGGTGCCTTTTATCCTATTCAGTCCTCACAACAACCCTGTGAAGGTGGATGGCTGCCCATGTCTCATAGTGAGACACAGTCTGAGATGACACATCACAAGAGACAGAAATGGCCAAGTTGGAGAGACTTTGGAGCACAATCCTGAATACTTAAAATGAGTCAAAACACAGAAATAAGGAAAAGCCTTCCTAGGGCACAGCCTAAGCAAAGGCCTAGAAACTTGAGATGCAGAGGCTGCGTTTCTATAGAAGAGATCTAGTTGGTCCTGTGGTTAGAACAAAAGTGTGCTGTGTGTGATCCTGGGCAACTATGGAAATTCCCTGAGCTTCATTTTCCCCCCTCTGTAAAACAAGTCAGTAAGGTGGAGTCTGCTGCACCTCCTGGGGAGGGAGTGTGGCATGGAGGAAGGCAGGGGCAGTTTGAAGGTTCCTTTCTACTTTTTTGTAGGAGTTCAGTTTCAAGGCTTCCCCTGGAGGGAATCAGAAGGGGTCCTACCTAGAGAACAGAGAGGCAGGCAAAACCAACAGAATATTCCCTCAATGGTGCAGAGCTCCTTAGGTGGCCTGTGGTAGTGGAACTCTGTCCCCAGGGAGCTACATTTATTGCCTGTGACTCCCCTGGTCTCCCCTCTGCTTGGTATTATTAGATTTCCAGCTAACTTGGCTGTCCAGTGCACAGCTCTGATGGGGGCAGCAGATGGTAGAGGCTAAGGGCCAGCCCCATGTCTTATTTGACACCCCCTATTGGCCAGAGAGGTTATTATCCACATTTTGCAGAGCAAGAAACTGACACTTAATGAGTCTGAGCGCCTGAACAGGGTCACAGTGAGTCAGGGTTGAATGGGATGGAGTTGGGACAGAGAGGTGGGTGAGCACATTTCTTGACTTTGGCCTACCTCCCCCTTCCCCCAGCTATGGAGATATGGTGCCCAGCACCATTGCTGGCAAGATTTTTGGGTCCATCTGCTCACTCAGTGGTGTCTTGGTCATTGCCCTGCCTGTGCCAGTAATTGTGTCCAACTTTAGCCGCATCTACCACCAGAACCAACGTGCTGACAAGCGCCGAGCGCAGCAGGTAACTGCATCTTGCATCTGATCATCTCTTATTCTTCACACCTCAATCTGGGCTACACTTGGACTCACCCACCTGGCCCTTTGTTTCCTTTTCTTTTTGTAGAAGGTGCGCTTGGCAAGGATCCGGTTGGCAAAGAGTGGAACCACCAACGCCTTCCTGCAGTACAAGCAGAATGGGGGACTTGAGGTGGGTAGGGGCCCAGATTGGATTTATGGGTAAGAAGTGATGTGCAGAGGGAGGTGCTGACCTTCTCTCTCTGCTCTGCCCACCCCAGGACAGCGGCAGTGGGGAGGGACAGGCGCTGTGTATCAGGAACCGTTCTGCTTTTGAGCAGCAACATCACCATTTGCTACACTGTCTAGAGAAGACAACGGTGAGGCCTAATGAGAGGTGGTATGTAGGAAGGAGGGGGTCCCTCTGCCACCAAGTCAGTCCCCTTCCTGGGATGGGAGGTTTCTACTAATTGTAGAAATCACATGGAACTTCCTGGGAAAGGCTGAGCAAGGGAAGGGAAGAGAATGATTTCCATAAAGGAGAGAACAGCCGGAGCAATAGCCTGGGATTGGGAATAGCTCCCATGGGGTGTCCTGTGACTCTCCCTCCTTTCTGCCTACAGTGCCATGAGTTCACAGATGAACTGACATTTAGTGAGGCCCTGGGAGCAGTCTCATTGGGTGGCCGCACCAGCTGTAGCACCTCTGTGTCCTCCCAACCAGTGGGGCCTGGCAGTCTGCTATCATCTTGTTGCCCACGCAGGGCCAAGCGCCGTGCCATCCGCCTTGCCAACTCCACCGCCTCAGTTAGTCGTGGCAGCATGCAGGAGCTGGATACGCTGGCAGGGCTGCGGAGGAGCCCTGCCCCTCAGAGGTAAGCATCCATCCCCTGGCCACAGCTGGTGAGTGTAGAGTTTGGGCCAGTGGGTTTGAGATTTCATTACTCAAGGCCTACCAAATCAGGCTCAAACTCAAACTCTTCCATATGGGGATCTTGGGCTTAATTTTTCTGGAACTCCTCATTCTTCATTACATCTTTCAAATATTTATTGAGCAGCCAGACATGGCAGTGGCACATGCCTGTCCTCCCAGCCACTTGAGAGGCTGAGGAAAGAGGATGGGGAGTTCAAAGCCAGCCTCAGCAATTTAGGGAGGCCCTAAGGAAGTTAGTGAGACTCTGTCTTTAAATATTTTTTTTAAAAAGGGGGCTAGAGATGTTGCTCAGTAGTTAAGTGCCCCTGGGGTCAATCCCTGGTACTATTAAAAAAAAAAGGACTAAGGATGTAGCTCAGTGGAATCAGTCCCCAGCACCAAAGAAAAAGAAAAAAGGGACTGGGTATATAGCTCAGTGGTAGAGTACTTGCTTAACATGCTCAAATCTCTGGGTTCAATCTCCAGCACTGAAAAAAAAAAGTAAAAATAAATCTTTGTCTTGAGCTCAGGGTGTGGCTCAGAGGTAGAATATATACTTAAAGTGCAAAAGTCCTTGTGTTACATCCCAAGCACTGTGAAAAAATTTTGCCCTTTGGGAACTTACATTCTATTGTGAGATATTTATAAATATACAGATCACATAGTGTGTCAAATATGTAAACAGCAAGGAAAAAATAAATCATGGATGCCATCTAGAGAGTGCAGAGCAGCAGTAATGAAGTTTGTTTTTTTTAAATGTATTATTATTGTTGTTGTTGTTGTTAGTATTATTACTACAGTAATCGGGATTGAACCCAGGGTCTCACACTTGTCAGACAAGTGCTCTACCACAGCCTCCCCCCCCCACCCACTGTCTGATGCATATTTTTTTCCCTTGGTTTCTTTAGGTGATATCAGGGATTGAACTCAGGGCACTTAACCACTGAGCCACATCCCAAGCCTTTTGTTTTTCACTTTTTATTTTGAGACAGGGTCTCACTAGGTTCCTTATTGCCTCACTCAATTGCTGAGGCTAGCTTTGAACCAGCAATCCTCTTGTCCCAGAGCCACTGGGATTAGAGGCTTGCTTCACTACACCTGGCTGATGCAGTTTCAATAATGTGGTCAAGGAAGGCTTTTCTAAGATGACATCTGTGCCAAGGCCTGAAGGAAATGAGGGAATGAGCCATGCAGATATCTACAGGAAGAGCTTTCTAGGTAAATGAACAGCCCATGTGAATGCTGCAAGGAAGCTACTGTAGAATAGGAGGTTGGCAAGTCAGAAAGGAATGAAGACATGGTTATATAGATTCTAGCGTAGACTCCTGCAAGGACTTTGGCACTGTTAGGCATAAGAATAAGAAAAAATACTTATGTGGGCTGGGGGTGTAACTCAATGGTAGAGTGTGCTTAGCATGCACAAGGCCCTAGGTTTAATTCCCAGCACCACACATCAAAAAAAGTGTGTGTGTGTGTGTGTGTGTGTGTGTGTGCGCGCGCGCACACACACACGCGTGCTCGGGCTTGTGTGTGTGCACTCATCATGATCCATGCACTACTCTGAATACTTTGTATCATTTATTCTCAATTCTCATTGAATCTCCACAACCCCTCAAAGTAGGGAATATTGTTATTTCCATGCTATAGATGGGAGTTTCAGTATGGTAAAGGGGCTCAAGACTTGAATCCAGGACTGACTCCAGAGCCCTTCCTCTCTACCACCATAATTAAGGATGCAGGGGAACACTTAGCTCAGAGACAGTCAGTGTTCAATAAATGCCACAATAGATATGGCAATTAATCAAGATGACTTTTTAAGAGCCTTCCATCTTCCTCATCCCTGTCCACAGCCGCTCAAGCCTCAATGCCAAGCCCCATGACAGCCTTGACCTGAACTGTGACAGCCGGGACTTTGTGGCCGCCATTATCAGTATCCCCACCCCTCCTGCCAATACACCAGATGAGAGCCAACCTTCCTCCCCTGGTGGTGGTGGTGGCGGCAGGGCCAGCAGTAACCTCAGGAACTCCAGCGTGGATACCCCCTGCCTCCTCCCTGAGACTGTCAAGATTTCTTCCCTGTGAAGTATGGGCCTGCTCATTCAGAGGGCCCTATTTTTTCTTGGGGGAGTCCTTTCCAAAGCCATATTTTGGGGAGGCAGAGAGGGACAGGCCTGGGGACCCCTTCTGCCCCCTTCTGAGAACTATGCAATTAGGTTTTATGGAATGGCCCACTTGGGAATGGGAGACTTGCCCTCTCCCAGTCTTCTTGGTGGGAGCACTGGGCTTCCACAGGCCTTCCACAGGCCTCCAGCCTCCTTGCTCCAACACACACTGGGACCGGCCCCCCTCCTCTAGCTGGTCTCCTGCATGCTCCTCCCCATGGGTCTTTGGAGGTAGGTAAAGTTCCTGTCTAATATCTGAGCTCTGGCTTGACAAAGATTTTGAGATTTCATCTTCTCTCTGACTGGTCTGTAGAGGTTTGGGGGTTCAGAGAAGGAAACCCTCACTCCTGATCTGACCTCTAGGAGAGGTCCTTTCTCTCTACCAGGCCCAACAGTTCCCCAATTCTGAAGCTTGGAATGTAACCATGGGCTTTGTGAGCTGTGGCCTCAGCAGTGACCTGTCACCCCCTGGCCCCCGGTTGAGGGGTCAGGCTGCCTCTCCCAACATACAGATAGCACAAACACCACTGCAACTTCCCTGGCTGCTGGAAATGGGTCCCTGCCATCCTGTCCTCTGTTGGATCCTCAGCAAATTCTAGCAATAGCAGCTGCTGCCATGATGATATGCAAAGCCTCTTACCAGTTTGCTGCAGCATTTACATCTGCCCTGATCAGATGGGCCACCTCTAACTAGTACTCCTCTCTTCTCTGGTTTGCTTCCTTCCTGGGTTGGGCTAAAGTCTGGACTGGCTGAGATAAGAACCCGGCAGCTAGCAAGAGCTGGGCTGCATTTGGTGATCATGGACCAATTCCATGTTCTTGGGGAGGAGTCCAGAAGCATCAGGGGCTGAGACCTGGGTTGTTCTGAACTCTGGGAGGTGTAGGAGGCAGGAGGAAATTCCTAACCACCTCCTCCTCCCTCGTAACTCCTTTTCATATATTCTTCTCTCTTTTCCCTCTTGGGTCACCTTCCAGAACTCTACTCTCAGGCTGAAATCTGGCATCATCTCAGGTTCCCTGTCCCCAGTACTGTCCCTGTGGAGCTGGTGGCTGACAAAGATGTAGTTTCCATCAGTCAATAAAACCTGAGAGGAGAAACGAAGACTGAACACTTCCCAACTCTGTGGGTTTGGGGGCTGGGTTGGAATGGGGGGATGAAACCACTCTGATCTTACTTCCTTGCAAAAGTGGAAGGGCTGGTGTGGGTAAAGGTGTGGGAGGTGAATGGCTGGTGATAAAGTCTGGAAGATGAGGATCTAGAAGAAATGAGAGAGGGTGGTTTGAAGAGTAAATCTACAGCCAGTGGGAACAGGCCAGGGAGTCCTAAGACATTGTCCTTGGCCATCGTCTGCTCTAGCTCCCTCATTCACAGATGGGGAAAACACAATTCATGTCAGCACAAAGTGGACTTAACATCCTGGCAGCAAACAACATCAAATTTAACCCTAATAAAAGCATCTCTCAGCTTGGCAAATTTCCCTTCCTTGTGGGCATTTCCTGCACTCTTTTTTTTTAATATACTGATGGACCTTTATTTTATTTATATATATGTGGTGCTGAGAGTCGAACCCAGTGCCTCACACATGCTAGGAAAGTGCTCTATCACTAAGCCACAACTCCAGCCCTCCTGCACTCACTCTTCTGGGTTACTGGCTCCACTAGAGTAGTGTGACTGAGCTCCACAGAGCACCAAGAAGACAGACCTTATATTCAGGTCAATGTGTTCCAATCCCTGGATGAGAGAATCACTTTCTCTTGTGCTAGGTTGCTAATCTGTGAAATAGAGATAACAATTTATTTATTCACCAAATATTGATTAACTTCTCATCATGTGCCAGCCCTAGGGTACAAAGATAGACAAAACAGACATTGTCTCTGATGTATAGAGTTGAACATCTAAGAGAGACAATTAAGCAATTAAAACAGTGTGATAGAACTAAGATGAATGTATTATAGAAGCATGTAGACAGCAGGGGAAAATAATCTGGCCAGCAAACAAGGAAGAAGTTGGAGTTAGCCAGGCAAAAGACGAAAGGCTGGACATGTAGGCTGAGGAACAGCATGTGCAATGACCTGGAGGTTAGAGCACAAGCTTGGAGCCTTCAGGGAACTGAAAATAGTTGTCTGGCTGGAGAGGGGAAGAAGGAGGGAGAAGAAAAGCCAGATAGATCACTATGGGCCTTCAAAGCCAGGAGACAGATTTGAGAGGATGATGGGGACTCCTGAAAGTGTAGAAATAGGAAAGTCCTGATGAGGTTTGTGTTTTAGAAAGATCATTGTGTCTGTGGATGGTGAATTACAGAGAATTCTCTGATTGAGAAAGAACAGTGAGGAGGCTTTTGTGGTGATAGGGAAGGGTGGCTTGGATAAGAGTGATGGGAGCAGAATTGGAGCATAAGAAATTGGAAGGTAAAATGGGCAGGATTTGGGATTAATAGGCTTGTGAGTGTTGGAGAAGAGGGAGTGGTCACGGTTGACTCCTACCTCTTGGGCTTAGGCAGTGGCTGGCTAAGGGTGATGTTTTCTGTCAAATGGACCATCAAAGCTGTTAATGTACAGTGCCAGGCACATAGTAACTGGCAATTGGCTGCAAATAAATATGAGTTCAGTTTCTTTTTTCTGCCCCCCCCCCCCCTTTTGGTACCAGGGATTGAACCCAAGGGCACTTAACCACTGAGCCACATCCTAAGCCCTTTTTTTTGAGACAGGGTCTCATTAGTTTGTTTACAGCCTCACTAAGTTGCTTAGGTTGACTTTGAACATGTGATCCTCCTGACTCAGCCTCCAAAGCTGCTGTGATTACAGGCATGCACTACCATGCCTGATTTCAGTTTCTTTTCTTTCTTTCTTTCTTTCTTTTTTTTTTTTTTTTTTTTTTTGATGGATCTTGCTAAGTTGCTCAGCCTGGCCTCAAACTTGGGATTCCTCCTGCCTCAGCCTCTTGAGTAGTCAGGATTATAAGCATGTGTCACCATGCCTGGCTATGAGTTCAGTTTTATTTTTAATTTTATTAGTATTATTATTTGTGGTACTGGGGATTCAACCAGAACCAGGGCCACTTTACCACAGAACTTCATCTCCAGCCCATTTTAAAAAATTCTTTGAGAAAGAGTCTCCATTGCTAAGGGTCTTGGTAAATCTTGAAACTTGTGATCCTTCACCTCATCCTCCTGAGTCTCTGGGATTTCAGGCATGTGCCACCACACCTGGCATGAATTCAGTTTTAGATGGTAGTAGAGAGTGGGATATTGGGGTCTGGAGTGAAATGACCATGAGAAGATTCAATGTAATGTGCATAGGCATTTGGGACAAGGCCCTAAACACAACAGTCCCAGTAAATGTAAGTCCCCTCTTCCCATTGTCTCACGAGCAGAAAACACCACTAGGACCTAGTTATTACTGCCACCTTTGTGGGGAGAACTTCTGTTAAAGTCAACACCTGAAGGAAGAAGGTTAGGTGGTACTCAGAAAAGGTTTAGGAAGGTTTTAGTTTAAATCAGGTGTGTGGCTTTGCTCTTAAGAATGGCAGGGAGCCCTCACCTCTCACAATGCCTTTCTTAGTTTATAAACTCATTTGAACTCCATAACTATTTCCTAAGGTAGTCGGGGAAGACATTTCCAACTTTTCAGATGGGTAATTTTAAGAGACAATGAATTTGCACGATGTCATACTGTTCATAATGGACAATCTGTGCCTGGAACTAAGGTCTTCCTGACCCCAAAGCCAGGGATCCTCGCACTGTACCACCATGCAGACTTACTGAGCACTTTCTATATGTCAGGTACAACACCAAACCATCAACAAGCGTGAGTTTCTGATCTTAAATTGGAATTACTGTCATTTTTCTATTTCTATGAAGAAGTAGAAATTCAGAATGTAGTGGGTGTTAAATGAGTTGCCAAATATCACTCAGACTGGAAGAGCAGAGTTACGATGAGCCAGAAGTGTTCTAGCCGCTCAACAGAAGGGATTTTGCAAGTCCCACTGCGAGAGGTTGGCCGGTGACAGAGCTGGTTCATAAATATTTTCCTAAGCAAATTCAATTGGGGGGGGGGGACCGGGAAGGGGGAAAGAGGGCTTTACCGCGCCTGCGCACCAGCCGTAGGTGCGGAGAGGTCAACACCAGGGCGAGAGGGCGGAGGTGCCAGAGAAGGCGTCTGTTTCACAAACACCCACTGTCCCCACGGTGCACGCCTGTCCCAGGATTGGTCTGTCTGACGAGAGTGACTGCGTCTCTTAGCCAATCACAGCATGGCCCATCCTGTTGCCAGGGTGAAGTGACGCCCGCCTCTTCTGCGGAAGGAGACTTGCAGGTGGGTGGGACAGGAAGTGATGTTACAAGGGAATGCTAAGCTCTGGGAGTGTTGATATTTTCCAGTCAGTCCGGCCGACTGCGTTCAAGTTGGAAGCCTGGAGGGGAGGCGCTTTTGTGCGCGGGACAGGCTACGTTGTTCTTTCGCAGTACCCACGCCTGCGCGTCAGAGCCTCGCGGAGAGAAGTGAAGAGCAGAACAAGATCAACAAGAAGAAAGGCTGGGAGAAAGGGTGCCGACTTTGAAATTTGAGACGGAGGGCACGGGAGGGCGAGCACAAGCTTCTGATTGGCCCGCGGGCGTCATCGAGGACCCACGCAGCTCCTTCGATTGGTTGGTGTCTGCAATTGTTGTGGCGGCGGCGGCGATTTTGCCCACGTAGTTCCGAGCAAGGGGCGGGGCTGCGCTCTGGCGCGCGTGCGCAGCGCCCCGGGGCCCCACCCGGTAGTTCAAGAACCTGCGAGGGGGCGGGGCGAAGAGGTGCTTGTTTTGGTCCTGTTTCCTTTGAAGCAGAAGGCCAGAAGGAGCAGCAGTAAAGTCGCTGGACTCGGAGAGAAGGCTGCGACAAACTTGCCGCCGTGCCTTCATCTTGGACTTCACATCCGGGTTCTCCGGGCGTGACTTGCGCACCGCCGACGGTTCTCGAACCGGCGCCGCGATCTCTTTATCCGGGTCTCGCTGTTCCCGTCGTGCTTCGCGCACTACAAGAGCCCCCTCATCCGGGTTCTCTCCCGGCGTGCCGCGCGCCGGGTTTGCTGGGGGGTACTCGGCGGTGCCGCCATGACTATTCTCCCCAAAAAGAAGCCGCCGCCTCCCGACGCCGACCCCGCCAACGAGCCGCCGCCGCCCGGGCCGCTGCCCCCGGCGCCGCGGCGCGGCGGGGGTGTGGGCGTGGGCGGCGGCGGCACCGGCGTGGGTGGCGGCGATCGTGACCGTGACTCGGGCGTCGTAGGGGCCCGTCCCCGGGCTTCACCACCACCTCAGGGCCCGCTACCGGGGCCTCCGGGCGCTCTTCACCGCTGGGCGCTGGCCGTGCCACCCGGCGCAGTGGCGGGCCCTCGGCCACAACAGGCCTCACCACCACCTTGCGGGGGTCCAGGTGGTCCCGGCAGTGGCCCTGGTGACGCCCTGGGTGCATCAGCTACGGGGGTGGGCGCGACGGGAGTGGTGGTGGGGGTGGGCGGTGCCGTGGGCGTGGGCAGCTGCTGCTCCGGGCCTGGGCACAGCAAGCGGCGGCGTCAAGCTCCTGGGGTTGGCGCGGTTGGCGGGGGCAGTCCAGAGCGTGAAGAGGTCGGCGCAGGCTACAACAGTGAGGACGAATATGAAGCAGCTGCTGCACGCATCGAAGCCATGGACCCTGCCACCGTCGAGCAGGTAAGGACTGGATGGTGAGGGTGGGCACATATGTCATATCAGACCCCTAAACTGTGAGGTGACCAAGGGACCTAGGCTCTCTTCCGGGGTCTGACGTTCTTCTCTGGTGGAAGAGGCACGAAAGGCCCTCTTCCCTTTTCCCCAAGCATTTGAGTTAGAGGCCCTAGATAAATGTGTGGGGCGGTAGTTGTCATTTTAGATTCTGGGACTTCATCTGTAAGACCGATAGGTGGGGATTCCCCAAGCATCACAGACAGAATGGGGGTACTTTCTGAGGGAGGGCTCAGGTCTCTCTAAGGGATCTAGGTCTATGTACAGTGGCTTGAGAACTCTTTTCCTCTGGGATAGAGTTTAAGATTTCCTTCCCAGGGAACTCAAACAAGGTCCCAACCTCAGACAGGTCTGGGCATCCCCAAGGAATGGTGAGCCTTCCAAGATTCTGTGACGTTCTACATAAAGGACAATTCTTCCTTCTCCTTTGTAAGCTAAACAATGGGACCTGAGGGTTTTTCAGCCTACTTTCAGGGGCTTTACACTCCCTTTTCTAGAATTACAGGCTTCTTGCACATCTACACACATCTTACTTATCTCAAGGAGATAAGATTTTTCTTCCTCTTGGGATCCAAGATTGTTTCTCTCCTTGGGGATGAAGGCCAAAACCAGTAGCCAAAGATTAATTGGGTACATAAAGTTTATCTCTTTTTAGAGTGACAAGGGTCTGTGTTTCCTGTAAGTGGCCTGAGACCTCTCTCTAGGATCTTAAGCTTCTTCTAAAGGATGGGATCTTGGTTTCCTTCCTTCCATCAAGGGCCTGAACCTTAAGAGAGTGACACTCAAAGCTTTGGATACTGGAATTTAAGGTCCTCCCGCTTCTTGATGAGGGTTTTTAAAGAATCTGAGGCTTCTTCAGAGGCTTGACATCCTTTAGCCAAGATTCCAGGCAAGAGGAGTTGTTTTTGTTTTTGCTTTTAGTTGAATCCAGGGGCCCTCTACTACTGAGCTACATACCCAGCCCATTTGACTTTCTATTTTGAGACAGGGTCTCGCTAAGTTTCTGATGCTGGTTTCAAACTTGTGATCCTTCTGCCACAGCCTCTTGAGTACCTGGGATTACAGGTGTGCAGTACCACATCTGGCGAGTTCTTTATGAGACCTTCCTCCTAAGGAAATGTTGTATCAGTGTTCTCAGGGGTTTGAGGGCCTGCCCAAAGATGAGAGACCCTTCTGCCTCAATTATAAGGACTGAAATACACCTTGGGGCTTTAACATCCCATTTTTTTTTCTGACAACAAGGTTGTCAGGGTCCTCTGTCTTGAGAACTGCAGCCTGAGACCACTTCTGCAGCCTGAGACCACTCCACATAGGCAGCGTAAGTTCCCAGAGGTGATGTCTGAGGCCACCCTGCAGATATAAACTTATCTTCAAGGGCCTGCTACCCACTCTGCCAAGGACACCTTTAGAGACAGGAGACCCATACATAACTCAGTAACTGTTTTGTCTCCATAGATAAGGTCTGAACTTCCTGAGAGAACTTGAGGCACTTCTTATGGACAGCACAACTCCCCACCAGAACTGTGCCCTAACATTCTTCCTTTGAGGCAGGATATAGAGTCCCAGACAAACAGGGTCCTGTGTGTCTCCCCAAGGACTGTTGCCATCTTAGGATCTAAGACCTGAATCTTCCCTCAGGGTACTGACTCACTGACCTCAGAAAACATGTGTATCCTCCAGTCATAGGGGCTTTTAGAAACAAGTTTTCCTGCTTTGGGATTTTGGGCCTGGTTCCCACTACCCTCAGGGAGTTGGTTAGATTGGAATTATAAGGAGGAGTCTTGAGCTTCCCAGAGGCCTGAACTGTTCCCCTCAGGGACAAGGTATTTTTTGCCTTAGGTACTGAGGCTTGACCCTCCCCCTTTGGTCATGAGGCTCTCCTACCACACCAGGTGATTCTTTCTCACGGGGGAGAGGACATGAGGTCATCTTCAGTGTGGTTGGAGACTTCCCCTATTGGACAGAAGAACCTGTGTGCTCTTCAAGTCATTAGATCCCCTTAAGCTGAGCCCCTTCAGGTCAGGGCCAAGGTGGTCCCCTTATTTTCAGGAAGGTTGTCAGGAACAATAAAGTCTAAGACCTCTCCTCTGACATTGGGAGAGATTTTGACCATGTTCAAGTGAACTCAGTTTCTACTTCTATGGTCAGGGCAACATTCTAGCTTCTGAACTGCTTTCTATAAGTATGTTTCTTCCCAGAGACAGGGAAGGGGCATGGGGCATCCCCACTCCTGGGAAATTCTATTCCCATATCCCTTTCCCCTTTGCTTATGTAAATCTTCTCTGTACTTCACAGGGGCCATGGCCTAGCCTTGAGCCCCCTCTTGTTGCTCCCTTCCCACCCATCATTATTTCTGGCAGGGTAAATCATCTGGACTCATGGGGTCAGGACCAGGAGTTTTGTTTCTTCTCTCCCTGGTTGGGGTAAAGTCTCTTTCCTTCTCACAGAAATAGGGAGCTATACTTCCCTGGTTCCAGGGACAGAGAAGAGGGTACTATACTGCCATGGTAATGCAAAAAGCCACCTTCTTACACCCCCTTACACTTGTCCCCATAACAATGTGGAAGAGAAGCTCTGTGAGCTCTTCATACTTCCTTTCCGATGATGGGGAGAGGCTTTCTGTCCTCCCACTGGGACAAAGGAAGGAAAAGGATGCTCTACTTTTCCTTGCCTCACCTAGCGCATCTTGAGACCTTTTGGGGATCAGAAGAGGGTAAATTCTTCCTGCTACCTCAGTTTTGGTCTGAAACTGTCATCATGGGTGTTTGTAGCCTGGAGGCTAGTTGGATCCTTTGGGCAGAGGGGAATGTTGAGAGGGAGTCTGGAGAGTAAATCTGGTCCTAGTTCTGTGAATGTACGGTACTCCCTTTAGGACTCATTTTGGCACGCTGGGGTCCATTTCCTGGGAGGTGGTCCTTTCTAAGCCATGGCTGCCTTGCTGGGGGTCTACCCCTTGAAAAGGATGGTTTGTAAGCATCCTGAGCTTGGGGACACCACAGATCTCTTCTGTAAGGGGGCATGCTTGTTGAGATGGTGGAAGAAGTTAAGCCTGGCACTGTAGTCAGGGTGTTTGGGTTCTACCTCTGGGTCTCTTGGGTTGTGTTGGATGAACCAGAATAGGTTCTGCCTGAGTTTCCTCATTGGTAAGATAAGGTGCTGGTGAGGTGTTGCTTAGCCTTGAGATTTTAGGGAACTCGTTCCAGAGCACTTGCCCTGGAGGTGCCAGTGAAAAGTGGTTGTCTTTTGAGGAGGAACTGGGCTACATCCCTGTCCTCCCAGACAATCAAGCTTGGTGGGCAAAACAAATGGCCTGTCCCATGTGAGAGTCCCATTTGATGGATGGCAAATTTTGTGGCCAGCTGTGCTGTAGTGAATAAGGTCAGTGGGTTTGCCTATTGGGGCCTGTTGAATAGTGTGGAAAGGTAGAGTTGTGTGTGGAAAGAATATGGGTTTAAAGCTGGGAAGACTTTAGTTCAAACCCCAGTATCTCCTGCTGACCTGTTTTTATTTGTTTGTTTATTTATTTTGGATACTGGTTATTGAACCCAGGGGATTTTACTACTGAGCTGTATCCACAGCCCCACCACTTTTTTTGAGATAGAGTCTCATTAAGTTTCTCAGGGCCTTGCTGAGTTGCTGAGGCTGGCCTCAAACTTGAGATCCTCCTTCCTCAGCCTCTGGAGTTGCTGGGATAATAAGCATGCACCACCATGCCCACCTTGACCTGCTTTATGGCTGTAGTCAAACTGCTACCCCTCTCAGCTTCCATTTTTGCAAAGGTCATCCCTGCACAGGGTTTTTTTTAAATACATTTTTTAGTTGTAGATGGACATAATACCTTTATTTTATTTATTTTTATATGGTGCTGAGGCTCAAACCTAGTGCCTTATATGTGCTAAGCAAGTGCTCTACCACTGAGCTATAATCCCAGCCCTGCCCAGGGTTTTTGAATGTGTAAGTATCTGACTTTGCTCACCTTGGACCTTGGCTGGTTTTTCCTTTGGCTTAGGATGGGAGGTTTGCTCCAGGAATATCTGGGTTTTTCTTGTCCATCGCTAGTATCCATCTAGGAACCTGCTGATTCCTTGGCCTTTCTTAGAATTGGGTAGTTAGCAGGTAGGGAAATAGAAAATGGTCCCTTCCTAGGCAACATGGATTTGAGTCCTGTTTCTAAACTAAATTTGTGTGGTTTGGGGGCATTTCTCTTGTCAGGGCTTGGTTTCTCTGTTCATGAAATGGGCAACGGTGAGCAAGGAAATCATACTCTGAACTTTCTCTGAAGCAAGTTGCATTCTATTTTTTAATCCCATGCTCCCCACTTCTCCTGCCTTGCATAAAAGTTTTAAGTGGTACTCCTTGGTTTTGGGGAATGTGTTACCTTTGGTGGGGGTGTTATGGCATTTCAGCTGGTATTCAGCTTGCTTCTCCCTGGTCAGTGCTACAGGCCCTTGGGTATTTTTTGTGGTTAACAGCCTTTTTCTTTTTGGTATCAGGGATTGCACTCATGGGCATTCAACCACTGAGCCACATCCCCAGCCCTATTTTGTATTTTTTTAGAGTCAGGGTCTCACTGAGTTTTGCTTAGTGCCTCCCCATTGCTGAGGCTAGCTTTGAACTTACGATCCTCCTGCCTTGGCCTCCCAAGCTGCTGAAATTACAGGCATGTGCCACTGTACCTGGCTTGGTTAACAGCTTTATTGAGATGTAATTCACATACAATACAATTAACTGATTTAAATTATACAATTCAGTGGCTTTTAGTATAGCCATAGAATTGTGCAACCATTACCACAGTCAATTTTAGAGCATTTTCATCACTCCAGAAAGAAACCCCTTAGCCACTATCCCCCAGTCTTCTCATCCCCTTGCACCCTGTGAAAATCACTAATCTACTTCTTGTCTTGATTTGTCTATTTTGAATACAATTGGAATCATACAGTATGTAGCCCTCTATGATCTGGCTTCTTTCACTTAACATAATGTGATTCAATCTCATGCATGGTATAGCATGTATCAGTACTTCATTTCTTTCTTGTTCTCCATGGTAGGATCTTTGGGTTTTTAATCCCTCCCCAGCAGTCCAGCAATAGGATTGGGCCTGCTTCATTTCTCTTTCTTCTGCCCTTGGGGGCTTGTGTTAGTCCTTAGAGAAGGATGTCTGTATTTCTCATTGGATGGGTTGCCTGTTTTGCTTGTGGAGCTGAGCCAGTGTTCCTGGGTGTTTTGGGGGAGGGGTGGTCTTGGCACAAGGGTTGCTGGGACAGAGCTGTGAAGCCCAGAATACTAAATGCCTCTTGGCCATAGGCTGTGGGAAGACATCTGTCCACTGCTGCTGTCATCTTCTCCTGCCCTCTTTCCCCTTCAGTGGCCATTCATTTATCCATAGGCTGGGTCAGCAGTTTCCCAGACTGGGAGTGGGGATTCCAGGCCCTTGTCACCTTAATTATAACCCCTTTCCTGGGCAGGTGCTTGGGAGGTGGATCATGCAAAATGGGAGCTGTGCTATGTTTTCTTGCAGCCATAAGGTTCTAGAACGAAAAACACTAAGGAGTGCTACAAGGGGGTTGTATCAATTTTCTGTGGCTTCTGTGGCAAACTATCATGAATGGGTATTAAAACAACAGATATGTATTCTCCCACAGTTCTGATGGCCAGAAGTAAAAAAATCTGTTTTATCAGGCCAAAAGTAATGTGTTGGTATGGCCATGTTTCCTCCAGAGGCTTTAGGGGGAGAATCTGGTCCTTTTTCCAGTTTCTGTTATCTGCCACCATTCCTTGGACTGTGGCTTTATCACTCCAATTTCTGTCTATCCTTATTATTGCCTTCTCTTCTGTGTATGTGTGGTTTCCTTTTCTATCAGATTTCCCTGTTTCTCTTAAAAGGACACTGTGATTGCATTTAGGTTCAACCTGGTAATCCAAGGTGACCTCCCTTTCTCAAGGTCTTTAATCATGTCTGCAAATAGTGTTTCATTATAAGGTAAACATTTACAGGTTCCAGGGATTAGTATCTGCTATCTTTGAGTGGCCACTATTCAGCCTAGAATAGACCAGGGAGAGAAAGGGAATTTGTGGTGGTCTCTTTCTGACAGAAGTTCTCTAATATTTTGATCTGCCCAGTATCCCCGTTGTTTGGAAGCTTGTTATCTCCATTTCACAGATAGGAAGACTGTGGTTCAGAGTAGTTCATCACATGGCTAATAATTGGTGGAGCTAGATTGGAACCTGTCATTTGGGTTCCATATCCTGCTCCAGCTTCACTTGGATCTTCAGACCAGTAGATTGAAGAGTGTTACCTTGCCTCTTAGGATACTCTGTTGTCAGAGAAGATCTTTGTTCAGCCCTTTATTGAAGGACTCCCCCACAGGCTCAATGGTGAACTTGAAAAGTTCAGGGCTTGGACTTGACTTAAGGCCAGGGCATTATGTAGCTTAAACTTACCTATGGCTGGACTATCTTCCAGCCCCCTAAACAACATTTTCATTTTAAAGGGAGAGAGAGAAGAGACAGTGGGTGGCTGGTAGTCCAGTCTCTAGCTCCAAGCCTAGATGTCAGTCTGGCTGCCTTGGACCCATATCCTATTTGCACAGGGCATCTTCTCCTCAGGCCTCCTTTGCTATTAGGGACAAACCAGGAGTTTACCAGGATGGGCTGCCAGGTATGTCTTTGCTGTGGCTCATTTGGCTTCCTATGTTGGTTCTACACTAGACTTAACTGATGCCCCATCCCCAGCTCCTTTTTGCCTTTGTAAAATGAGGATAATGCTTCCTACCATTTGGGCTATGGTCCAGACAGCTAAATGAGGTCATCCTTTGCATCTGGCACCTAGCATGGGGCAGGCACTCTACTAATATGAATTCTTTCTTTCTGGCCCTTCCCTGTTTATCTGCCTAGTCCTACTCAGGCCTTTACTGAACTCATTGCTGGGCTCTGGCATCCCTGGTGTTTTGTGATAGAAGTGACTTCATTTCTCATCCGGTTAACCAGTGTTTCTGGAGGTCTTGGTGTCTTAATACTTTGCTTAAGTGCCAGCCTTAATGGCAGGGTCAGGTCCCTTCGTCTGTTTCACAACACCCCTTGTTTATCTCTTCTGCAGCCCTGTGCACACTGTATGGTCATTGACTGTTTCCCTGCTCTTCCCCTAGCACTTTGTGAGCTTCTGTCAGGTCTGGGGCTTTAGTTATTGTTGTAGCTTTCCTGTTGAACACTCCTGACTGTGGTAGCCTCCTGTGGATCTCAGAGATGGCTGTCCTGTGGGGTAGGAATGGATTGGGGATACATGGCTGTAGTGTGCTAGTCTACAGCCTCCAGGGCAGGAGGGGTACCTGGATGCTGGAATGTTGTATATAAAAAGGAGTCTTTTTTCTGTCCATGGAAGCTCATTAAGGACTTCCAGGTGCCTTTGTCATCTGGAAATCTAGTCATACCTTCTTGGGGTGTGGCCTTGATTGTGGGGCTGGCTAGGTATTCCCTTGTCTGTCTTCATCCCTCCTGTCCAGCTACTCACATAGGGCTTTCTGTGGGCTTCTCAGTTGTACATCATCTGTCTATGCCAGTCTCTCTCCCCTTCTCTCATTGGTGACCATCTCACCAGTATATGGTATATAATTGACAAAGCCTCTTCAGGTACTAAAGCTCCCCTGAGCTTCTTGGTAGCTGTCAGGAAGACTACATATTCCCCAATTGATATGAAACTGAGGAAGACTACATATTCCCCAATTGATATGAAACTGAGGCTTGGTGATTTTGGGCAGCCTACTTGTAAATTGGGTGATAAGAGGAACAGCTGGGGTTGGAACCTAGAGCTTTTGACCTCCAAATCTTGTGCTTACTACTTTGCCAGAGATTCTTCTCCCCTGGTTTTTCCTGGAGAATGCGTTCCACCCCATGCATAAGCTGGGGATGAATGGCCTTGCAGAGAGGTGGAATCCTCTGCCTGATCACCATTAACCTGGATCTGGTTAGGGCAGTGTCCCCAAGGGGCAGGCTTGGGATCCTATCCTTTGCCACCCTGTTTGTGAGTCCGAAGGCCAGCAGAGGGCGCAGTGGGCCTGGGAAAAGTCTGCTGTTTCTGCTTTGTTTTGTTTTGAAGTGGAAATGTGTTTTAAGTGATATACGGTCATTTTTTTTTTTTTAAATCCAGAAATACACATTTGTACAGGCTCACTTAATCTGAACCTTTGGGGCCAGATGTGCTTTGAAACTTGGAAAAAATTTCAGAATTTAGGAAAGTTGCCTCATAATACTTTGTATTATGTAACACTCCAGCAAGGTTTGGTATAACATCTTATGATAAAATACCTGAATGTTTTTGCATTGAAATATTGGAATATTCACTCCCAAGTGGGATACCTGGGTGTATGTCAGTTTTGGTCAGGTTATGATGCAAAATGAGTTTGATAAAGACTTTGGGTTTTTTTCCCCCCTAAGACTTTTGATGGTTAAGCCTTCTTGGGTTTTGGGATTTTGGACAAGGGATTTTATACCTTTGTAAAGAAGGAAGGTGAAGGAAAATCACCTGTGATACCACCACTTAGAGATAATATTTTGTTGTCTGGCCTTCCCAGTTTTGTGTGCATATGTCTGTATACGTACATACGTATAGATGTGTGTAAACATATGTGTGTATGTATATTTTCTAAATGTGTTCAATCACAAATGAGGTCATACATTACACACATTTTGCCTTACACACCTTAGAATTACCCAGCTATATGTGGGGCTCAGGATCTAGACTCTTTACAGTCACTCCCTCTTCAACATCTCCCCTGGGTGAAAGTCCTTGAAGTTGAGCCAGATTCTCCACCCAGGCACTTACTGGGTCTGGGCTTCTGGCTGCCTACAAGGTCAGCAAGGGTCAGAAGGCAGATGGGGTTTCTGCTGTCAGGGCACCTGGGACCTCTCTGGGAGCGAGTCCAGCAACTGATTCCCTGAAAGAAAGGGTTTCTTGCTCCAAGTGTATGGAGTATCCAAGAAGGGCCAAGAACTTTACCTTGCCCAGTGTCCCTCTGCCAGTCATCTGGGCCCCTCTGGAGCTTGAGGAAGGGCCCTGGGGAGGTGGTGCAGGAATTCCCTGTTGCTGACCCCCACCTCTTCCCTCCAGCAGGAGCACTGGTTTGAAAAGGCCCTACGGGACAAGAAAGGCTTCATCATCAAGCAGATGAAGGAGGACGGCGCCTGTCTATTTCGGGCTGTAGGTGAGTCTGTGCCTCAGCCCTTAAAGGGCCTAGGGCTGCCCCTGAGTTGTGTCCCAGTTGTCAGGAGTAGACACCGAGAGAGGTTTGAGGTGGAGTAGGCTAATTTTATTATGGTCTCTAGGCCCCAGCCTCAAATTAGTGTCCTGCCTCTATTCCTGGGTCATGAGAGAGTCTGGTGGTGCAAGAGTAATAATAACAGGAGTGATAGTAATAAAGAACAATAACATCAGTTAGGGACAGATTGCTCTGCTGACACTATAAGAAATTGTTTTAATACTCTACCAAGCTAGGTGAGCATAGGAACTATCATTGCTTCCATATTTCAGATGGGGAAAGTAGCTCAGGGATCCAAGTAACTTGCTCAGGGTCACACATATATTATGTGGTAGATTAAGCATTTGGATCCTGGAATAGATAGGTCTGAGGCCCATGCTCTTAACCACAGCACATTGCTGTCACTCTGAGATATAGAATACCTGGGTTTGCACCCAGACCCCCTATTTCTGGTGTATTTGGGGTTTCCATTCCTTGTGTGTATGTGTGTGTGTGTATGTGTATGTGTATGTGTGTATCAAGCTAGATATTTAGTTTTATTTTTTAACTTAAGCAAAAGTAAAATAGTGAACCCTTATGTACACATCATCCTGCTTCAAAGTAGTCATCAACACATGTCTAGCCTTGTTTCATCCTCACCCACTCTTTCTCACTCCCTTGAAACAAGAGTATTTTTAAACAAACCCTGACATTGGATCATTTCATCTGTAAATATTACTGTATGCTTCTCTGACAAATACAGGCTTGCTTTCTTTTTCTTTTTTTTTTTTAAGAGAGAGAATTTTTTAATATTTATTTTTCAGTTTTCGGTGGATACAACATCTTTATTTTATTTTTTATGTGGTGCTAAGGATCGAACCCAGCGCCCCATGCATGCCAGGCAAGCGCGTTACCGCTTGAGCCACATCCCCAGCCCCCAGGCTTGCTTTCTTAACATAATCAAAATGCCATTATTGTACCTAACACAATTAATGATTTAATATCATCTGCCAGCCAGCCTGCGCTGGATCTTTGTGGTCTTTCTAGCTCTGAATGTGAACCCAACAAGAAGTCATGAGGTCCCATGCCATTAAGGGAAACTGGGAATATTGTAACGTTTTCCTCTCCCAAGGAGTGCCCTCTGATAGGAATCAGAAGACCTGGGTTCTAGTTCTAGCCCTCATAAGAGCTCTCTGGCCCTCAGCCTCTGTTTCCCAATCTTTGAAGTGGTGGTGTTTTCAAAGGCTCCTCAAGTTCCTTCTGTATAAGCTATTTTCTCTGTTTCTGGGGACCATCCATATCTACTGGTGGGTTGGACTGGTTCAGGCAACACTCTTGGCTGTGCCACTGATTCTTGGTGTGACTTTTGGCAGGCAACTCTTTCCTAAGCCTCATTCTTAGCTGGAAAATGGGGCTAAAAGACCCCACAGTTGTAATGGTTTAATGATGTTACTTTTGGTAAATCCCTGTAGTACCTGACACATAGTAGACCTTCATGGAACACAATAGCATTGATAAAGCCCAGATACTGTTTTCAGTGGTGCCTCAGAGTCAAAAATTTTGAAAGGGTAGGGGGAGGACTGGTTACCTCTCCCTAATAACCAAGCAGAAGCAGTCCAGGCAATAATATGTTGTATTGGGCTGGGGGAAAAAACCCAGTCTTTTTATCCCTCTGGCTAAAGTTCTCCCTAGGATGTTTCCTAGAGAAAGATCCATGGGTTTGGGAGCATCTTGGGGGGAAAAAAAGATAAAGAATAGGTGGTGGATTGTTAGAGGCCAGGCCCTGTGTTAAGAACTTGGGCTGGCTAAGGGCAGTGTTGCACACCTGTAATCCCAGCAACACAGAAGGCCAAGAAAGAAGAATCACAAGTTCAAAGCCTCAGCAACTTAGGTCCTAAGCAACTTAGTGAGACCCTGTCTCAAAGTAAAAAAACAAAGTCTGGGGATATGGTTCAGAGTGGTTAAATACCTCTGGGTTCAATCCCCAGTACCAAAAAAGAAAAAAAAAGAACTCAGGATAGATGTAGGAGAAGCAGGGTGGTGGCTGGTAGGGTTAAGCATCTGAGTCTTGGGTAATCAGTGAAGTAGTCCTTGGAGCTAGTGAGAATCTAGTGTGTGCAGTAACCCATATCAAGATCAGTGTTTGCCCAGGTGTGGTGGTGTATGCGTATGATCTCAGCTATTTGGGAGGCTGAGGCAGGAGGATAGCAAGTTCAAGGCCAGCCTTAGCAACTAAGTTAAACCCTGTCTCAAAAAGTAAAAAAGGGCTGGAGGTGTAGAGAACTCTTGGATTCACTCCCCAATAACCCCCACCATGCACATGCAAAACAGTGTACATGCATATGTATCTATCTGGCTATTTTCCCCAAACACAACCCCCCCCCCCACACACACACTGGTGCCTTCCAGTAAGGGGCCCGAGCTTACAGGAAGAGCTGACCACAGCAGGTTGAAGGCCTTTCCTTATCAGCACTATGGCTACACATTTCCCCTGACTCGGCTGCCCTCAGCTTTTCTCTGTAAAACCTCAGAAGTCCCAGGGCCTCTCCAGAAGTAGGTAGGCCCTGGTCTCTAGGCCTCATTTAGAGGTTTCCCTGGTGCAGAGTACACAATACATGTGCCTGGGAAGGGGACTTTGTCCCCAGGCCTTCTTTCCCCCCAGGTTTCTAGTCTAGCCTCTGCAAGGACAGATGGTAGTCATCTTAGGCTCTGGTGTGAAGGTCTGCAGGCTCTGACTTCCTGCCATGCATTGAATAGTTGGAAGGAATATATAACTGAGGGTTGGAGTTGGGTATGTTGCAAACTTAGAGGTCACTATGTTTTTTCCTTGACCACTTTTGTGTATCAGGCATTCAGCTTCATTCTTTTTTTTTTTTTTTAAAGAGAGAGTGAGAGAGGAGAGAGAGAAAGAGAGAGAGAGAGAGAGAGAGAGAGAATTTTTAATATTTATTTTTTAGTTCTCGGCGGACACAACATCTTTGTTGGTATGTGGTGCT